GCAGAAAAGAAAAAGGCCCAGAACAGATGGATTGGCACAGTGTTACAACCATGGTTTTACATAAGAACAATTGCGAGGACAGCACAATGCTTCATTCTTTACATAGGGGGTACTATGAGTCAGAACAGACTCGATGGAACTTGACAACATAAACCTTCTGTAACTTATGAAGCCAATGGATATTTTAATTTTAGATGTATGAAAAATATTAACTTTTTTTTAAAGGTACCATTATTATTTTAAGGTAACACTATTTTAAAATAGTGTTACTGTATTGTTAACTTCTCAATAAATATTTAAATTGGATTAGTTCTATGTCATTACCTCTCGTAAAATTATTATTTCCTTAAGAAATTTTTCAAGATAATTCTTACAATTGAGATTTTAAATTTAGATTTTAAATCTGCAAAATGAAAAAACAAATGCTTACTTTTTTGGGATAAAGTACTTTAAAATTGTTCCTAATATTTATGGCGTAACACTACCTTACTATTCTTTTGTTCCATCATCAGGGAAGTATGGACACAAACTAATAAACTATGTGGGAAGAAAACTGGTTTGACATCTTTATCACTTACAATTCGATTTCAACCGTGCCTTTTGAACATCCCCGCTTCACAAAAAAGCCAACCTACGACATAAAAGAAGAAAAAGTAAAGTTGTGATGACACTCCTGAATTAATAATATTGGCGAAGTCGATATTATCCATCAACTTAAAATCTTGTCACTACTTCTTTGTATGTCCATTTCCATCACTTTACAAATGTATCTCTTGAATAGTTGAGTCCCCCCAGGTAGCGCAGTGGTTGACTGTTTAGCGACTTAAAGGGGCGGCGTTTTGACCCCCCCCGCAGCTCTGCAGAGGGAAACGCATTAGCAAGCTGCTCCTATCAGGAAGGCAGCCAGACACCCAGTGGGGCACCTCTACTCTGTTACAATCTCCCAGGAGACAGATACTGTCCATAGTGAGGATCTAGTACTACGGTACTTCCTAAAGTGGGCGATATTGCTGCGCGCGTGCATGTGTGCGTGTGGGGCTGGGGGTGGGGGTGGAGTTACAGGCAACTAAGGCCTCAAGGCTAATCAATTAATGGA